TCAAATAATTCCATTTGAGGAAATAATGTCTGTCTAGAACCACCTTCTTCTAGATAACAATAGTAAATTCTAGGCAATACACTAAAAAGAAAAATTTTTAGACAATAGAAAATAACCACGACAGGCAGAAACTGGAAGAGATCCAACCCTTGAAAGAAGGAAGCCACGCTAGTTTGGATCTGTTTCAGTTTTTTCCTAGGGATTCTTCCTAGTCTGTAGCTTGAAGCTGGTAGCAACAGAGACCAAAGCTGGGGCCTGTCTGGCTTGAGGTGTCAGAGTTAGGACCACCACAGAGGATGGATATTGGTGGTGGGGGAATCCTGGGGAGGAGGCAGCCACAGAGGAGAAGCTTCCAAATCTAATATAAACTCCTTCGAATCCCTGGCTGACCCCTGACCTGCACAGGCCCAGGACAGTGATTCCAGCAACAGCCAGGAGACCAAAATAGCTCAGGAGGCGGCTCCGCTGCCACCTGCTACGGGGGAGACGGGCTGTACAGCAGGGTTCCGTTAACTTAGAGCAGCCTGAGGAACAGCTCCTGGGTCCCACCCAAGTCCCAAGCAGTTGAGGGAGGCTAGGAGTAGAGGTGATACCCTAAGACCAGCCTCCGCAGCTCAAGAGAACCTGCTGGTTGGCCACTGGTGAGAACAAAGACAGAAAGCAGAATGTCCACAGTGCACCGTCACAGCATCCAGTTGATAATCTTTAAAAGCCGCTACCTAGAGCACCGCTGCTTCCACTCTGGCACATAAGCCATTTGGAAACCACTGCTCTCATCCTAACAAGTAAACAGCTAAACCAACTGAAAAATCCACAACTCTGCTGGATCTGAGAAGTGAGGTCACCAGGCAAAAACACTGTCCCCCAAATGGAAAGACAGATGGACAGAATCACCAACTTATCAGAGCAGAGAACTCTGGGGAACCAGAGTAGGAAAACCCAAACTCTAAGTGACCAACTACTGGAGGCTCTGTGTAGACAAGTCTAGGAAAACCCCGGGGTGCAGGGGTGGGGGGCCCAGTTATTGAAGACTCTCATGCTTCTTTTTTTGTTGTTTTTTTTTTGGCAGTACTGGGAATGGAACCCAGTGCCTCTCCCAGTGAGCCACACCCCAGCCTCGTCTCCCACACTTTTGTGAGTTGTACCTCTAGGAGCTCAACCAGGTTCTCACAGTAAATATTACAGAAAAGCC